CCATCATAAAAATTTTAGAAATTTATATTTCAGGGCGAAAATAAGTCTAAAAATTCCAAAATTGAACGCTAATATCCATGTTTTTTGAGAGATGTTGTAGGTTTCAGGGCCCGGTGTAAAAAAGCCTTGAGATTTTAGGAGATAAATCTAAGGGTCGTATAATTTCATTTGGAAACATATATGATCATTATATGTTGTCACAAATGTTCGTGGTAGGCTTGAGTTAATGAAATCGGTGCAAGTTGTAAACCGGTAACTTTGTCGTTTAAAGACGAATTGGATGGTTCCACCCACCCAATTGGACTCCCTAAGGATATTAGGGAGCATGGTAAACATTTCCGCAATTTTTATTTCCGGACAAAAAAAAAAGTCAAAATTTTCCAAAATTGAATGCACATTGTCCACGTTTTTTTTAAACATTTCGAAGGTTTCGGGGCCTGCTGTTGAAAAGCAATGAGATTTTAAAGGATACATCTCAGGGTCATATAATTCCATCTATAACCATATATGATCACTATATATTTCATAAATGTTCGTGGTAGGCTTGAATTAATGAAATCGGTGCAAGTTGAAAACCGGTAAATTGCCCATTTAAATGCAAATTCAATGGCTCCGCCCAGCTAATTAGACTTCCGGAGGGTATTAGGGACCATAAAAAAAACATTTCGGCAATTTTTATTTCCGTGCGAATATAGTCAAAAATTCCAAAATTGAAGGCTAAGATCCACGCTTTTTGAGAAATTTTAGAGATTTCTAGGCCCGGTGTCGAAAAGCCTTGAAAATTTAAGGGATACATCTCGGGGTCATATAATGTCGTTTGGAATCATATATAATCATCATATGTTGTCATAAATGTTCGTGGTAGGCTTGAGTTAATGAAATCGATGCAAGTTGTAAACCGGTAAATTGGTCCTTTAAAGACAAATTGGATAATTCCACCCATCCAATTGGACTCCCGGAGGTTATTAGAGACCATGATAAACATTTCGGCAATTTTTATTTTTTGGAGAAAAAAAGTCAAAAAAATAAAAAATTGAACGCTAATGTCCACCTTTTTTAGAAATTTTAGAGTCTTCGGGGTCCAGTGTACATGTCTAAAAGTCTTGAAATTCTAGGGAATACATCTCGGGGTGATATAATGTCGCTTGGAACCATATGCGATCATTAATTTTGTTATAAATGTTCGTGGTAGGCTGGAGTTAATGAAATCGGTGCAAATTGTAAACCGGTAAATTGGTCGTTCAAAGGCAAATTGGATGGTTTCACCCACTCAATTGGACTTCCAGAGGGTATTAGAGACTATGCTAAAATTTTTGGCAATTTTTATTTCCGGTCGAAAAAAAGTCAAAAAATTCAAAAATTGAAGACTTATATCCACGCTTTTTGAGAAATTTCGAATGTTTCGGGGCCCGATGTCGAAAAGAAATGATATTTTAAGGGATACATCTCGGGGTCATATTATGCTATTTGAAACCATAAACGACCATTATATGTTGTCATAAATTTTCGTGGTAGACTTGAGTTAATGAAATCAGTGCAAGTTGTAAACTAGTAAATTGGTCGTTTAAAGACAAATCGGATGTTTCCACCCAACCAATTGGAATCCCGGAGGATATTAAGGACCATGATAAACATTTCGGCAATTTTTATTTCCAGGCGAAAAAAGTCAAAAAATTCCGAAATTCAAGGCTATTATCCACGTTTTTTGAGAAATTTTGGAGGTTTCGGGACCCGGTGTCGAATAGATTTGAGATTTAGGGAATACATCTTTGGGTCATATAATGTCTTTTGGACTATATATGATAGTTATTTGTTGTCATAAATGTTCGTGGTAGGCTTGAGTTAATGAAATCGGTGCAAGTTGTAAACTGGTAAATTGGTCGTTAAAAGGCAAATTATATGGTTCTACCTATCCAATTGGAATACCGAAGAATATTAGGGATCATGGTAAATATTTCGGCAATTTTTTATTTTTGGACGAAAAAAAGTCAAAAAAATTCCAAAATTGAAGGCTAATATCCATGCATTTTTAGAAATTTTAGAGGTTTGGGGGCCCGTTGTTGAAAAGTCTTGAGATTTTAGGGGATACATCTCAGGGTCATATAATTTTGTTTGGAACTATATATGATCATTATATGTTGTCATAAATGTTTGTGGTAGGCTTAAGTTAATGAAATTGATGAGAGTTCTAAATCAGTAACTTAGATGATTCTACATACCCAATTGGACTCCCGGAGGATATTAGGGATCATGGTAAATATTCGGAAATTTTTATTTGCAGGCGAAAAAATAGTAAAAAAAAAATTAGAAAATTGAAGGCTGGTATCCACGATTTTTGAGAAATTTTGGAGTCTTCGAAGCCCTGTGTCTAAAAGTCTTGAAATTTTAGGGAATATATTTCGGGGTCATATAATATCGTTTGGAACCATATATGATCATTATATGTTGTCATAAATGTTCGCGGTAGGCTTGAGTTAATGAAATCGATGCAAGTTGTAAATTGGTAATTGGTCGTTTAAAGGCAAATTGGATGGTTTCACCCAGCCAATTGGAATCCTTGAGGGTATTAGGGATCATGGTAAACATTTTGGCAATTTTTATTTCTGGGTGAAAAATGTCAAAAAAAATTCCAAAATTGAAGGCTAATATCCACGCTTTTTGAGAAATTTTGGAGATTTCTGGTAGAGCTGTCAATTCGGTAAACGGGTCGAGGTTTGGTCGGTAAGTGTGGATTAGGTTGGGTCAATTCGAATTTATTCCATAACCTATGTAGGTCGGGTTTGGGTTGGGTCATGCTTGAGTCGGGTCATTCTTCTTATCGGGTTTGGGTAAGGTTAAGGTCGGGTTAATAACAGGATGGGTTACATTATTCGGGTCGGGTGAACAATAGGTCGGGTTTAATTTGGACTTTCACGAGTTAGGGTCATTCTCGGGTTTGAGTCGGGTTCGGTTCAAGTCAATAATTTGCGAATTATACTCAGGTCGGGTCATTTTCAAGTCAGGTAAGTCTCGGGTTCAAGTCGGGTTCAGTTCAAGTCAATAATTTTTGGGTTATAATCAGGTTGGGTCATTTCCAAGTTGGGTCATTCTCGGATTCAAATCGGGTTATGTTCAAGTCAATAATTTGCAGGTTACAATCTGGTTGGATCATTTCCAAGTCAAGTGATATTCGGGTTCAGCTAGCTATAAATAGATAATTATCATTTTTTATTAAGCTAATTATTTCCTTTGACTATAATATATTTGGCAATATAATAGGGAATTATAGTCTATATATAATTTAGAAAGATAATTATCTCCTTTGACCATACAACAAATATATACTATATTTAATTCTTAAATTTGAGGATGATGCTCCTTTCTTTTGCTGGCCTGGACTGACTTGGTCTCCCCAGACAAAATTCTTTGATCAACAATATTATGGTGGTCTAAATCGCATTTAAGGTGATTTGAAATCGGGTCTGAAACAATTTGGGTTTAATTTAGGTCGGGTCAATAGCAAATCGTGTTGATTTCGAGTCGGGTTAGTAATAGATCGGTTGAATTTTTTGGGCGGGTTAGTAATAAGTCTGGTGAAATTCGGGTCGGGTCAATAACAAGTCGGGTTGAATTTGGGTCAGGTTAATAACAAATCGGGTTGATTTCGAGTGGGGTTTGTAACAGGTTGGGTTAAATTCGGGTCGGTCTAGGAATGGGTCGGGTTGAATTTAAGTCAGATTAGTAACAAGTTGGGTTAAATTCAGGATTTGACAGGTCAAAACGGGTTTTGGCCAATTTCTATTCAAGCTGGGTTCGGTTCAGGTTAATAATTTACGGTTTACATTCCGGTCGGGTCGTCTCCAGGTCAGTTCATGTTCGGGTTCGGGTCTCGCATACTTGGGTCCACTCGGGTCTAGGGACGTTGGTTTCAGGTCGGGTTAGGTCGGGTTTGGCCTGGGTCACCATTTTTTTGGGTTCAGATGTTTCGGTTAATAATTGGGTTGGAGTTGGTATTTCGGGTTGGGTCAACTTTTGACAGCTCTATTTGTGAGGAGGGTCCTTTGACCAAACTGCAACGTTGACCAAATTTTTCTAGCCAAAAACATGTGCATAGCACGTGACCACTTAATTGACCTTTTTTTTTTCTTTTTTTTTCCTTTCCCTCTTTTCCCTCAATTTTTAATTTTCCCCTTTTTCCCCCATTATTAAACCCTTATTTCAGAACTCTTTTCCTCTATTTTTCCCCCTATTCTCTTTCAAAAGAGTAAAAAATTTCAAAAAAAAACTTCCAGAACTTGCAAGACCAAAATCTTCTTCTTGGGTTTTCATGGGTCCACGATGTTCTTTTGACAATAAAAAGATCGCAATTACACTTATTCATCGATTTACGCAGCTACAATAATGTACAACAAACAAAGATAAATTTCAAGTTGCAAAATTAAACTTGATATTAATGAAGTGGTTCTTCAATTCGCGTCGAATGGCATTGATTGGCCTTCAATTGTAATTTCAAGGGGTAAGAGTTGAAGATTTGAGATTAATTTTATTTTGAAATTAGGGTTTAATAATGGGGGGAAGGGGGGGGGGGAATGAAAACCGAGGGAAAGGGAAAAAAAAAAAAAGGTCATTTAAGTGGTCAAGTGTTGTGCACATGACTTTTTTTAACCTTCCTCGCAAATTTAATTGTCATTAGTGTATAAGAGATAACTAGTTATTGGCTCGGGCGATACCCCGGGTCATTATAAATTTATTACTTTAATCGAACTATATATATTTTGGCTTGTTTGTCATTGAGAGCTTAAGTGGTGGTTTTTTATTTATTTATTTAATATGATAGCTTAAATAGTTTGTTGCTTGTATGAGTTGGTTTGATTACAAGAATAATTTTTTTACATTAAAACCATAAAAATATGATAAATCAAATCTTTATAAATTTGATGTCAAAATATATACTAATCCATAATGCACAAAAATCTTTTATTCTATGATTACAATTTTATGACTTAATGCATATAATAAAAATGGAGTAATGTTTAATTTCTTACAAACTTTATTATTATGTAATTATTAAGAAGTTACAATCCAATTCAAGGGAAATTGTCATGCATATGAAGATTTTATCAATTAAACTTAACATTAATACATGAAAGTTAATGCATAGAGTTTTTCAATAATTAATGCTATGGTATGATTTGGCGACGACACATCATATGCCAAATGGAAAAATTGTTGACACATGGCAAAACATCATGTCTTGCCATGAGAACATCATTTCTTGCCATGAGTTTTAATATATATATTGATATTGATATATCTTCATGTGAAATCTTATTAATTATATTCTTTTCATTGTATATTTTATCAATATCAATTTTTTATAATCTTTATGCAACGTAAAGTAATATATTAGTTTAAATACGCATCTTGAAATCTTATTAATTATACGTAATGTAACGTTCCAACATTGTTATAAATGTCTCAATGACTCAATTACTATGCTTCCACGGCTCTGCCCAACACAGAAGGAAGCCGTGGGGTGGTACGACGATTGTATGCTACGTTATGCAAATCGGACAATATTGGGAAGCCAAGAAGAACAACCTTCATCAACGTTAAGGAGTACAAAAAAGGTGACTAATAATGTTAACCAGTTTAATCAAGTGCTAGGAACGTTATTAAATAGGCTTCCAAATGATGCTTCGAAGGGTGATTCTAAACTTAAGTTTGCAACTGGAAATGATAGTTACGGAAGCTTTGGTAGCATATATGCGTTTGCTCCATGTTCTCCAGATTTGTCGCAACGAAACTGCTTTAATTGTCTTGGGGATTTTATTAGTGAAATGATTCCTAGTGGATCAACTAATAACACAGGAGCGCAGATTCTTGGACCGAGTTGCAAGTTAAGATACGAGGATTATTTGTTTTACAACGACGTGTCGAGTCCATCATTTCCTCCACCGTCGGCTCCTCCATCAGGTAAATACTAGATCTATATGCACACGATAGCTAGGTGCTCCAAATTTAATACACCAAATCTTTTTGAAAGAGTAATAAAATCGAGGGCATTTTTTTAGATTTTTTAAGTGGATACCGTTATCTTATCCCTTGACTTATATAAATAACGGTCTTTAAATATATTGCACCATCCATGGATTGGATTAGGAAGACTTTTTCAAATGTCAAAACTTTGAATTTATTCAATGGATTAAAAGCTTTTGACTATCAAACATCAAAACTTTGACTAATTATATATTTATTGGAAGGAATTTTGACCTTTGAACATCAGAACTTCAAAATATGAATTGGATTGGGATATTTTGTACACAAACTTTTAAATAAAACGGATGTTTAGTAAATTACTGAACATTCGTTATAAGGTGACAATAAAATGTGCAAAAGTTACACTAAAACGCACAAAAGTTACCGTGACATATATAAGAGTTATTTATGCTTTATTGATAAATTTGACAAAAGTGACACTAAATTTGACAAAAGTGACACTAAATCTGACAAAAATGTACCCGATGTACAGTAAATTACTGAAAACCGAGTGTATACAAAAGTTTTCCTATTTTGTAACCTACTATATACTATGTTATTGAACTAGGTCAAAGTATTATACCCATAAAAACTACCTTTTTTTTCGCTTTTTACTTTTTACTAGCAACATGTCAATAGTGTACACTTATTATACACTCAACTATAATTTCATTTCACTATTATGCTTATAGAAAAAAAAGATATAATCGTCTGAAATTTTATTAGATTTGTTTCAATGTCTAATTTCTAAATCTAATTTTGTTATATCCATATATATATATATATATATATATATATAATATATATATATATATATATGGAAAAATTTATGGGAATAATCCCACCTTTGGGATTCTTTTTAATAATCCCACCTTTATACCTAATCCGCTCCTAATAGTCCCAACCGGTGATGTAACCCGTCACGTTTATCTTAATTTTTTTGCTTAAATGTCTTTTAACCACTATTTCAAGAAGGTATTGAGAGATAGTCTTACGTGTGTGATGGTAAATTGATTTTGGCCAAAAAAAAAATGATTTTGAGGCACCTATTGTGGGAGCACAATTTTCAAACCTCTTTCACATGGAGGTGTGCCAAAATCATTTCCTTACATATTTTGTTTCAGTAGTTGAGATTTTTGAGAAACAGTCCATCAAACAACTTTATTTGATATTATGGAAAAAAAATATATATGGAGTACATATACATGTAGACAATTTAAACAAAATCGCACATGCTTGACTATGTTCTTATCATAAATACGAAGTATAAGTTTCCATGTATAGTTTTGAATATCAATTTTTTTATCATTTATACTTACTGATAATCAAACTACTTATTGCTTAAAGTATTGTTTTTCTAATGGGGCACTTATTCTGAAATAGAGGGAGTATTAGAATAAGTTAATATGTAAAACAACCAAATAACCAATACTACTACTATTACTTTTGCTTCATCAACTACTTTCCAATGCAACTTCATCATTTTCAGGTAATGGAAGCAATAACACGGCATTAATTGCCATCCTAATCGTAGTTCCAACAGTTGTAGTCATTGCTCTTGCAATTGGATTCATTTTCTTGTGTAGAAGAAGAAAGACAAAGGAAAAGCCTGAAAGCTCAAGTAAGCTTAATGATTTCTTGTCTGTTTTTAATCTATTATTCTTGAATTGGGTAATGAAAATATCTTGCCTATTGTATTATATACTAACCCTCATATTTTCTCTTAACCTTTCGTCCTAATTAGTCGCTTCCTATTCTGTTCCTCGAGAAGAAAATGATGAAAGTAGAGTTTTAGTTTCTTTGGAATTTGGTCTCGACACCATTAGATTGGCTACAGACAACTTCTCAGAAGCTAATAAACTTGGTCAAGGTGGATTTGGTATCGTTTACAAGGTACTAATTAGCTAGTTGGATCTATATACTTAATATTGATCACTCTACTAGTATTTGAATAATACTTTAATTGTGAAAAGAAAATGTTACAATAAATTCATTTTTAAGGGTTTTTATAGGTTATTGAGTATGTATATGCTTGCCAAAACAGGGTAAATTGTCAAATGGACAAGAAGTCGCGGTAAAGAGACTGTCAAGGGATTCTGGACAAGGTGACAGTGAGTTTAAGACTGAAGTTTTGTTAGTGGCTAACCTTCAACACAGGAATCTTGTTAGGCTCCTCGGATTTTGCTTAGAAGAAGAAGAAAGAATACTCATTTACGAGTTTGTTCCCAACACAAGCCTCGATCACTTCTTGTTTGGTATGTTTTGATTCGAATTCCTTAAGTTCTAAAGCATGTGTGTAGATACATATATGATAGGATTAAACTAGATAATACATTTATGTACATAATATATATCGTTAGATTAAATTAAATAATATATTGATGAAGTAATGATAATGAATTGAAATACACCCTGGTGTGCAGATGTAAAAAAGAGAGAATATTTAGATGTGGAAAAGCGATACAAGATTATAACAGGCATAGCTCGAGGACTCCTTTACCTTCATGAAGATTCTAGACTACGAATCATCCATCGCGACCTTAAAGCAAGCAACATACTTCTAGACGTTGATATGAATCCCAAGATTGCCGATTTTGGCATGGCTAGATTGTTTGGTGTTGATCAAACCCAAGGGGATACCAATAGAATCGTCGGTACCTAGTAAGTGCATCAACATACTACTAAACATGAAATTGCATATATATATTGCTAGATTTTTGCTTATTCATCCTTTTTGTTTTTTTTTTTGAAATAAGGGATGCATTAATTAGTTAATAGGTATATTACAAGCAATAATCGCTGGGACATCACCAGTCAAAGGGGACAAATTGTTTTCAGTGCTAGAGATTAGATTGCAAAGAGTTAAATCTCTCTCAAAAGCTTCAATACAGACAGTCGGTGGATGATGCAAAATACATAATTCATTCAGGCGATTCATATTGCTGCGTGCATCCCTTGCAAGAACATCAGCTACTGCGTTGCTCTCCCTCTTCTCAAAGAGCATATCCAGATGGAGGTCCATTCTCAGGTCCCTGCATTTTGATAGCAGTGAAGGTGCATTAGCCATACAAGCATTGGAACTGATTTCATCAATTGCCCTCTTTGCATCAGAAACTAGGATGGAATTCTGCCAGTTTTCATTTTTAATCAAGGACAGACCCAATTCAATGGCTTTTAGTTCTGCTTCATGGCTAGAAGGGAGATACCCCTTCCAACTTATACCAACAATCCAAGAGCCCCTGCTGTCTCTACACACCACTGCACAACCCGACTCTTTGGTGGAAGGTACAAAGGAAGCATCACAATTGACTTTAAAGAAATTAGAAGGGGGAGGAGACCAATGTATTGGGATGGGCTTTAGACTTTCTTTGTTATACTTCGTAGAGAAGTAGAACTCCGAAGCAGCCCAAATACACTGGGAGATTGCAGTAGAAAGAGGGATGTTTGTTTTGGAAAAAAGCCAAGCGTTTCGCCTTAACCATAAATGCCACAGAACAAAACAAAACATGACATTCCAAGGGATTGAATAGGAGGTGATTGTATCAAGCTTCAGATTATAGGACAACCACTCAAGCCAAGAGTCGTCACCAGAGAAAAGGGAAGGGCAAGTGACAGAGTTCCAGAATTCGGATGCTCGAGTGCAATGACTGAAAACATGAGAACAAGTCTCATCTTCAACAAGGCAGAACTGACATTTAGGAGAGAAATTTTGTATTTTCTTTGATAGATTTTCTCTGTGAGGAATTCGCTCCCATGCTAGGAGCCAAAGAAATGTCTTGATTTTTGGGAAAGTGTTAGATTTCCAAATCAACTCCCAATTGAAAGGTGGCGCATGAAGGTTATCTAGAGATTGAATTGCAAGTTTGGCTTTTTTTGAGTCGAATTTACCCTTTAGGGTCCAACTAGAGAAGTGAGAATCCTTGTTTGCGCTGAAGAAAACTGATTGGATGAGATTAAACAACTGATCCGAGAGAGGGAAGGTGATCTTTTCCTCCATCTGATTTTTGGAGCAAGAATGAATAGCAGAAAGAGGGAGGGCTAGAGAGCTGAGGTTAACTGGGCCACTCAAAAAATCACGAAGATAAGAATGCATCAACCATTTATCCTCCCAAAGACTTATGATCGAACCATCACCAACATCCCAAACAATACTCTCCTTGAAAAAAGGCCAAGCCTTACCCAAACCTTTCCAAATGAAGGATCCCTTGGAAAATGGAGTTGGATTGGGTTTTTTGTCAATGTAGATTTCCTTTAGCAGATTGGCGGCCCATCCTTTATTGTTGTAGACGGACCAGCACATTTTAGCAAGGGAAATGGAATTAAGTTGGTGATGTTTGGTAAAACCCAACCCACCATCTTCTTTGGGCTTGCAAACCTTATCCCATGACACCCAAGTTATCTTTTTCTGATGGGTCGAGCTACCCCAAAGAAAATTTGAGCAAATGGAGTCCAGATTTGAATTCAAGTACTTGGGGATCCAAATGGATTGCATGACGTATCTAGGGATGGCTTGAAGGGAGGATTGGATAAGAATTTGTCTTCCGGCCTTGGTTAAAGACTTTCTCTTCCAAGTAGCTAACTTGGCACCTAATTTATCAACCAAACCTTGGAGGTTTCTTTTTGAAGGCTTTTTGGATGAGAGGGGAAAACCTAGGTAATTACCTAGATCCGAGGTTGCGGTGATGTTTAGCTCTTGCTCAAACTCATCAATCATGGATTGAGGGGTGTTGGGAGAAAAAAGGATTGAACTTTTTTGGTCATTCATTTTTTGGCCGGAGAGGGTGTAGAAAGAAGAAAGGGTTGAGGCCAAAGCTTTAAGAGTTTTTTTGTCAGTTTGACCAAAAAGGAGGACATCATCCGCAAACAAAAGGTGAGAAATGTTTGTTTTCCCCCCTCTAAAACGGAATGGACTCCAACTGTTACGATCACACTCCTTGTGGATCATTCTTGAAAAGTATTCCATACAAATAATGAATAGATAAAGGGAAAGAGGGTCTCCTTGGCGCAACCCTCTAGAGGGAGTGGAGGATCTAGAAAGGTGGCCATTTATTAAAATGGAGGAGGAGACGGAGGTGACACAACTCATAATGAGGTCAATTGTATCAAGGGAGAAATTGAAATAGTGAAGGCAAAATTTGATAAAGGGCCATTCTAGCCTATCATAGGCTTTTTTGAGGTCAATTTTCAAAGCAAAGGTTCCTTTCCTCCCTTTCTTTTTCTTACCCATGGAGTGGACAATTTCCGAAGCAATTATGAAATTTATTTCCGTGCCCCGACCGGGGAGGAAACTATTTTGATTTGGAGAAATAATAGAATTTAGGTGGGGCCCAATTCTATTAACCAAAATTTTTGAGACAAATTTGTAACAACAATTCACAAGGCTTATGGGCCTATAACTCGTGATTTTGGTTGGATTTTGGACTTTAGGGATAAGACAAATGATCGTTTTATTAAGAGCAGTAGGAATAGTTTTTGAGTGGAAAATGGAAGAAATAAGGTTGAAACAATCTAAATGGATTGTTTCCCAAAATTTTTGGAAGAAAAGGGCATGGAATCCGTCTTCTCCCGGGGATTTTAAAGCTCCAATTGAAAACACGGCTTCCTTCAATTCGGGTATGGTTGGGAGATGGGCACATAAGATAGATTCTTGAGAGGTGGGGATAGGAGAGGAGGGAAGGTCATCAGATTTAAACAGGGAGGAAAAGTGATCAACAATATGATCATGGATTTGGCTAGGATCCACAATCCAGCCACCAACATCATTTTTTAAAGAAGTGATTTTATTTCTTTTTTTCCGGATTGTCGAAGAGAGATGAAAAAATGTAGTATTTTTGTCACCCTCAATTAGCCAATCCGTTCTTGCTCTAGTCGCCCAATAGACCTCTTCTTGATCAAGAAGCTTATTGAGCTCCTCTGATAAAGATTTTTCCAAGTCAAAAAGTCCAGAATTTAGGGGGTTGTTTTGAAAAGCAATTTGGGCCCCTTCGATTCTGGCCCTGGTTCTTTTAATCTGATTTTGGATCGACGAATAATTCATTGAGGCCCAATCAGACAAGGACTTGGAGAGATCTTTAAGCTTGGAAGGAAGAAAAGATTGGATCATAGCCCATTGCGAGATGACGAAAGGTTCAAAGGCCAGGTCAGATAGCCACATTGGCTCGAACCGAAAAGTTTTGTGACCCGGCATTTGAATTTTTTTTTCCAGAGAAAGAAGCAAAGGGTTATGATCCGACGACAATCTCGGCAAATTTTGGACAGCTGCTTCTTGATACAATTGGATCCAAGACGGAGTAGCCCAAAATCTGTCAAATCTTTCGAAAATCGGAGAATTCCTCCTCTTATTGAACCAAGTGTATTTATGACCGGTATAACCCAAGTCCAACAAATTACACATGTCCATTGTATCTTTATATGCTCGCATTTGATCCACGGAATGAGGATTCCCACCCCATTTTTCATGAGCAAAACAAATGTCATTAAAGTTGCCACATACCAGCCACGGAAGGTTGATAGTTGGCGCCAAATTTATTAACTCCCCCCACAATTCTAGTCTACCTTTAAAACAAGTACTAACATAAATGACGGAAATAAAAAAGGGGGCTTTATTGGCTACCTGAATTACAGCATGAATGAATCTCCGGTCTTTCGTGACGGTGGTAATGGAATTGACACCACTATTCCACAGAATGAGGATACCTCCAGAGAGGCCTACGGGATCAACAACTTCAAACGAATTGAACGGCAAATTTTCAATCAATTCTTCAACTCCCGACTTCTTAACTTTGGTTTCGGTAAGGATTACGACCTCTGGATCATGGTCCTTCAAGAGTTGTCGGAAATTCTTTTTGAAGGTCCGGCGAGCAATCCCTCTAGCATTCCATAAAAGAATCGACATTCCCGCTTTCATTATAGGGAATTTGGACATCTCCTTCTTGGTCTCATACGCCGCATTGTTGTCGAGAGTGACATAGAGACCCGAGTAGTGGCTGAATTTTTCCAGCGTATTCTTCTTGATTTTTATCCCGGACATCTCCAAGTCAAAGCCCCTCTTCGTTCCCCAACCGCAGAGAAGTTGTAGCTGAGTTGCTTCCCGAGTGAGATGGAGCCACTTGACGTTGTTTGTTCCGGCGAGCGATTGAACCACTAGCCATTCGTCGGTAATCGACACAGCTTTTCTTTCTTTGGGAAGCACGGGCTCCGGATCGACTAACATCTGAAGTTCCCAAGGCATAGTGAGACCCGAGTACATCCGTTGGAGCTCGTTAATCCACCATCTCAAGAGGATGCCCAAAGGTGCGCACATCAGGGTCGCATCTGCTAGGGATGGAATATGCGCCGGGACTAGCACACGAGGATCTGTTGGGTACCCTGTCTTGAGGTTGGTGAACATTGGGGCTGTCTCCGCCGGAGCAAGGAGGATCTGGCGCACCACTCCCGGAGTGAGGGCGTGCCACGATCCCAGAATGTCCTGTACGTAGCAAGATTGCAGGTTGAACAGAGTCTCCGGCCATTCTTCCATGTTGAACTGAGGTTTTGTGTAGGTGATGATGTTCCTGGCAGGTGATAGGGTCACCTTTACCGGGCTGGGCTGAGGACGGCGATGTTGGATCTCCCTGGTTAAAGCTTGGGTTTGTTCTTTCTTTTTTTGTCTGATTTCCATTTTTTTTGAAGGGAGGAGAGCGAGGAGGGAGAAACTCAATTTTCTTCTGGGGAAGAACCATAATGGAAAGGGGGTGGTTTAAAGTTTGAAAATCGCCGGAAATTGGGAGTGGCGATGGATGTAAGGTGATAGGACAGGGGAGGTGATAAGGCATGGTCAGGCGGCGACAGTCAGAAAGAAAATTGGGAAGGATGAAAAAAAGATTATGGGAGGATTTTCGGGTCAGGGATATAGGAATTTCCGAAGGTTTATTCAAATGAAGGGTCCCACACAATTTTTCTTCCAAATTTAACACTTGGAACTGATTTGTCGTATTGACCTTACTCAAAGAAGAACCTTTTGGTAGGTGGTCCCTAGAATTAACCTTAAATTGTCCAGAGGATAAAGAGGACAAGGATGCACATTTTTCTGGAACTATTTGCCACCCACCATCTGAGGTTTCGACTGAGGAACTTTGAGTATGGATTTTGATTTTATCTGAAGCATTGGTGATAGCTGAAGACTGTTTTGGATTTTTTTTGGGAGGTAGCTTGCGAGCTCTGATTTGCTGGGTGTTTCTGAAACGATTGCTTTGGAGTTGGCTCTTTGTAACAAATTTCTTGCTTGATATTCCCTAACCAAATGTGATTCTTCTTTGGAAGATCCTCATTGATCAATACAAGGATTCTCGTCGTTCTCAGTGGTAATTGATACCTCTAGAGTTGTCTCTTTTAACAAAGGAGCCGATTGCATTACCAATTTTTGACAACATAGTAATGTTGTTTAGCTCAGCAGGGAGCTCAGGAAGTTTAACCCATAAGGCCACTCTGTTTAAAGGAGCACTTGATGGTTTGAACCCGGGTTTCCACTTCTCTACTGCTATGAATGCACCATTTAACAACCAAGGACCCTTGTCAAGCACACGATCTAGATCCTCTTGATGGCTGAACTTAGAAATGAAGTAACCTTTTCCAATTGGAAAGGTTGAGATTGGAGTTTTTGGTTTCCAGAGTTTGTTGAGATTCTCAGCATAGAACTCAGTGGAGAATGACTTCCCGCAAGGTTTAGAAATGATTGAATCAGTCCAGTTAGAACAAAAAGACTCATATTCAGCCTTTTCAATAGGGATAAACAACTCAGAGTCAACATTGAACTCAGCTGGGGGGTGGAGGCTGCTTGGATACAAACAGGGGATGTAGACTGTTTATTCTTTAGCACCTCAAGGAAGGATTGGTTTGATCGGAGAGGTGAAGGGGTAACAAGGGATAGGGTAGGAGGAAGAGAGGAAGAAAAGGTGGAGGATTGGAGTGGTGAAGACTGAGAGCGTTGAAAGAGGGGTGGAAGATGGGGTGGAGCAAGAGAGGATGATGGTTGTGCTTGGGAAAAGATTGGTGTTGGGGGCTGTTGTTTGGATGGGGTTGGGGACTCTCTCTCATTAACTTTCTCTCTCATCTTAGAAAACATGCTTATTCATCCATTTAATGTCATCAAAATGAGCACAATTTTCTTGTACATACCAAAATAAAGCCTAATACACTTAACCTCCTTTATGCATTACAGTGGATATATGGCTCCAGAGTATGCATTTCATGGATTCTTCTCTGTAAAGTCAGATGTCTACAGTTTCGGCATACTAGTTCTAGAAATCATTACAGGTCGAAAGAACTCTGGTTTTCATAATGAGGAATACACAGAAGATCTATTAAGCTTTGTAAGTGGTCAAATAATCCTATATTATCCTCTTAAATACTCACTTTTAAGGCAACTTTCGATATAAATGCTCCATGATAAAATTATTTAATGTCCTAAAAATGTTATGTAATGCAACTAATTAAATGAATATTAACTACATACATGGTACATAAATAATTAATGTTTATGTGATATAGGTATGGAGAAATTGGAGAGAAAATACCGCGATATCTATCATAGATCCAACATTAACAACAGCATCAAGAACTGATATGATAAGATGCATACACATTGGGTTGTTATGTGTTCAAGACAGTGTCGAGGACCGACCAACTATGTCTTCTGTCGTGTTGATGCTTAGTAGCCGATCTTTATCTCTTTCAGTTCCTTCTCATCCACCATTTGTCAGTGTTACTACCTCAGAGTATTCTAAGGAGAGAATTCTAGGGTCTTTGTCGAAAAATGAGGATTCGGTCACTTCTCTCAATCCACGATAAGATATTAAAGATGCAATAAATAGATTGATCGTTGTTAGGCTCGAATGCAATTGTTTGATGTCTCTCTTGTTGGGAGAGCAATTTTTGGCTCTTAAGAAGTGCACCTATATATGTATATCCGTGAGGAATTGATTTTGATGTATGTATAAAATACCTTTATTTATTGATTTATAAATGTAATAACGTTAAGCAATGTTATTTACATTTTGTTGTAATATGCTACATCAAATTAACCTATAAAGTTTTAACTAAATTATAATGCATACCTACAATCATTAATACTACGTATATTTTATCGGTAACAAAAATTATAAGTTGAAATTATGAAAGTATAAACTTTCAAATGAATCTAATAAGATCCATTATGAACATAATTTATGTAAAAATTAAATAATACTGATAGATTATAAAACATATTCCTGCGCCTCAACTATCAGTTTAAACTTTTGGTTGAGTTGCTCATTTAACATGGTATCAGAGCCAACGTGACATAGAGGTCACGGGTCCGAATCTCATCCACCCCTCCTTTAAAGTGGAATTAATTCGCGCCGGGTATGAGAAGGCCCGTGCTGCATCCACATTTCAAGCCCAAAGGGCGGCCTTTCATGTGAGGGGGACCAATTGGTATTACATGCACCATGATGCACCTAGAAATAGGTGCACCAGGCCCAATCTGCTGCCCAGCCCAAAGGTATCAATAGAAAGAAGCCCAGTCTTTTTTATTTTTTTCACCATTGAATTTTGATATTCTCTTTATTATTTGAAAATCTAAATTAAAACTATAAACAACCATTTTCGATTTTAATCTCTCCTTTTTTTTGGATATTATTTTTTGTTTTCCTCATTAACAATTTTGAATTTTTTTCATTTTTTTTATTTTTTTTTAACCTCTAAATTACTAGAAGCTCTAAAATTTTCTACAAAAAATGGGAAAAACTCTACTTTCTCTATCCACTTTAATATAAAGTATCTTGTATTTTGTTAAAAAATGAATTTTTTTTTGAGCTTTTTAACCAATTTTGGTGGATTGTGCAATAAAATTATCAAATATGATGTTAATCGTTCCATATCCCTCATATTTTTGTTCATATATTTCCTGTTTGATGTTCATATAAGTTGTCTTTTATGTCCATATATATGTGATGTATGAAGCAATAATTTGTGTATAAATTTTATCAAGTATTTGGTATGAATAATAATTTATTTGGATGTTGTGTATTTCCTCTTTTGTTGTTTAATATTTATGTATATACGAACTACTGAACACCTTAAAGAAACTTTTGAATATCCCCCAAAAGCCCCAATAAATTTATGATAAGCTCCAAGAATTTTCTGATAAGCCACTAGAAAACACTGAACCAACCTAAAAAACCTCTGAACCCCCTAGAAAAATTTCTGAACCCCAATTACAAACCACATAACGCCCTTCAAAAACATTTTAACCACCTTCAAAAACCTTTGAACTCTAACCACAAACCACTAAACACCTTACCAAAAACCTATGAACCCCCTACAAAAACTTTTGAACCCCAACCACAAACAACTGAACAACCTACAAAAACTTTTGAACTCCAACCACAAACCACTAAACACCCTACAAAAATCTCTAAATCCCCTACAAAAATTTTTGAGCCCCAACCACAAACCACTGAATACCCTACAACTTCTGAAACCTAACCACAAACCACTGAACACCCTACAAAAAATTCTGAACTCCAACCACAAACCACTGAACACCCTATAAAAACTTTTGAATCCCAACCACAAACCACTAAGCACCCTACAAAAACCTCTGAACCCCCTACAAAAACTTCTGAATCCCAATCACAAACCACTAAACACCCTACAAAAACCTCTGAACCCCGTATAAAAACATCTGAACCCCAACCACAAACCACTGAATACCCTACAAAAATCTCTGAACCCCCTAGAAAAATTTCTGAACCCCAACCACAAACTACTGAATATCCTTTAAAAACTTCTGCACGTCAAAATACTGCTCAGAATGTTGCTCGGCCTTTAGACTTTCCTTACAAACAACTTCATATGTTATAACTGCAATAAACAAACACAATTCATAATAACCATTACTGGAGTTCAAAAATAAAACAACAAAGTTCAAATACAGGAAAAAAATGTTCATAATTACGTTAATAATTATTTTCTAAAAGCATATATACATACTCAGAGATTTATGTAAAACGGAAAGGTTCATTAAAGTAACCTAAATGTTCATAAAAATAGAAACTATGTTCATAATATGATACTGCTAATAACAATTTTGATAATATATACAATGAAAAGTGCGTTACTCGAATTATATGAACAAAATGATCAAAAACATGATATAAACAAATTATATTCGATCATAAAATACAAATTAAAACATCAATTCACCAATTAAATAATAAATGAAACTAAAAATCATCAAAAAAAAAAAAAAAAAAAAAAAAGCAATTACAATCAAGAATCAAATTCAACACACACTTTCAGTAGCTTAATTAACATTAAATATCAAATTAATCAATTGAATAATATATATGAATATCTTTGTAATAGATCACATAAATTCTACACTAAGTAATCATATGAACCGAATGTTTAGAATCATATTAAACGAATTGTGCAGTAAGTAATCAAAATCTCATCACTAATTTCAGCAAATTAATTAAAATTAATCAAACATTTGATCAATTCATCAATTAATCAATTGAATAATATGAAATTAAAACTAATTAAACCTAAAAATTAAATGATCAGTTCAAATCATCACTCAAAAATCAATAACAAAATGAAAAATCAATAACTAGCATCAACAACAAAAAACCTAATTAGTGATAATTATCAAATAAAATAAGAAATCTAACTTACAGTGTCGAGGGTGGCGATGAACAGCAATGATGAACAAATTCAATAAAGAAATAGAAGAATCAACAATGGTGAAAAATTGAGGAGAGAGAAAATCGAGGAGAGAGAAATTATGGATGATGATTAAAAAAAGAAGAAGAAGAGAATTGAACAGAGAGAATTGAGAAATTAGGAAATAATTGAAAGAGGGAAGATCAGTGAAATTAAATAGCAGAAGAAGAACATTGAGAATTTGAAAGAAGAAAACTGCAACTAGCAAACACATGGCGTTAATATAATGGTGGACCACATAGAGTAAGGTGGACCATGGTCCACCTTATAATTTGCGGGGGGGAGTGATAGAGTATAAAACATATTCCTGGGCCTCAACCATTAGTTTAAGATTTTGGTTGAGTTGGTCCTTTAACAAATACAAATAAAGTGAGGAAGTATAAAACATGTTTTTGGGCTTCAATCATAAGCTTAAGTTTTTGGTTGAGGCCCAAAAATATGTTTTATACTCTATCACAAAACTCAAAAGTCATATTACTACTCGTATTACGAGTACTAACGAAGGAATTATGCTAATTTCTAACTTTAATTTGTAGGAAAGGTGAGCAACACGGGGAAGACTGTCATCCTAATCACAGTCTCAACATTTCTGTTAGAAAATCTTGCGTGGACCTGGTCCACAATAATATTATTGTGGACCTAAGGTTTATACACACGTAACTGGCATTATATTCGACATAGTGACTCTTAATTTTAATATAGTAATCTTATTTTTAAGATATTAACCTTTTTAAAAACTTGTGTGACCTTTAATGTTATTATGAACTTAAAGAACGATATTATGTTAAATAGTGACCTAATTTTAACATAGTAATCTTTATTATTCATATTGACCATTATATTAAAATTTCATTAAAAAAAATTAACCTCTTATAGCTTTTAATGTCACACTAACTTTTATTTCAACATAATAACCTTTATTTTAATATAGTGACCTTTTTTTTATTATCAAATAAACCATATTATCTCTAATGTTAGTGGTGCACAATAAATTAGTGTGAACCGGGTCCATTTAAGAATTTGTACATTTCTGTTAATTTCTCTACTGACCTCGTAGTGAATTAAAAGCGGCAAAGTGAACCCAAAATGTTTATAGACCAAGTTTTTGCACAAAATAGATGTTTTTAATTTAAAAATGGAACTAAATGTTTAGAGCACTACAAGAAAAATCACTTTTTGTAGTGATTATTTCGTAGCGATTGTTCATTTGCTACAATATGCAAGTATGTTTGTGAAATAATTAAGGATGTCGTATCATTTTTACAATCGCCATGGTTTTCCCATATAAAATCGATACGTAAAGCATAATAATACATATTCACACTATTTTTACACATTTATATAATTTTGAGAAATCGTATCATTTACAATCGCCACTAAATCCTAAAAATCGATACGAAAAGCCTTTTCAACACTAGATATATAAATATTGTTTGACAAAGAATACATAAAATATGTCATAGCTTATTGGTGAAACATTTAAAATAAGAGTTTGAGGTTGCATGTTCGAATCTTGTAAAGATCATACACATATATTGAAAACCACTACTAAAGTCTAAGGCAACGGGGGATATTGTATCGAATGACTATTCGTTGGGAAAGCTTTTTGTTGCAATTACAATCGATACTAAAGGTTAAAATAATCGCTATGAAAAGGTTATTTTCTTGTAGTGGAGGTGGTGAAATTTAAATTTTGTGTGTTTGTAGATGATTATTAAAATAATAATAATAAAAAAAAAAATAGTAAAATCAAATTTTGGTCTTTTGAGTGGGGTTTGTTTACAATTTTCCGGAGAAAACATGACCTATGTTACATTAAAAAAAAAAAAAAAAAAAATTGTACACACGCAGATGTCAGATGCACCTAAGGTGTATATATAATACGTAGTACATACTTGTAGCATTTTACTTCTCAAAGTTCAATATTTGCATCTAGATAACTAGATTAATTCCAAACACGCCAACATCCACACCTAACACATGTTTACTTTCTAAAACTACTACATACATGAAATATGCATATATATTAAATTATAGTTGATTCTAAACTTTGTAGGGTGATACAAAAAAAATGAAATTGTCTAATGTTGTTCATTGTATTCATATTCTTATTCAATTTCATTTTATTTCCATCGTAATTAGACAGCAAAATTAAACTGAGCATTATTGTAGAGACACCTATGGTAATTACACAAGCACTAGCAGATACAAGACCAATCTCAGCACCTTCTTCTTATGTGGAGGTGATGTAACGTTCCAAGATTGTTATAAATGTCTCAATGACTCAATTACTATGCTTCCACGGCTCTGCCCAACACAAAAGGAAGCCATCGGGTGGTACGATGATTGTATGCTACGTTATGCAAATCGGACAATTTTGGGAATCCTTGAACAACAACCAACATTCTCGGTGGAGAGCTCTAGCAAGGTGACTAATAACGTTAACCAGTTTAATCGAGTGCTAGGAGCATTATTGGATAAGCTTCAAAGTGATGCTTCTTATGGTGCTTCGCGACTTAAGTTTGCAACTGGAAATGATAGTTACGGCAACTTTGGGAACGTTTATGCACTTGCTCAGTGTTCTCCAGATTTGTCGCAACGAAACTGCTTTAATTGTCTAGGAGGTTTTATTAATGAAATGATTCCTAGTGGCTTCACTAACAACACAGGAGCACAGAAACTTGGACCGAGTTGCAAGTTAAGATACGAGGATTATTTGTTTTACAACGACGTGTCTAGTCCATCTTCTCCTCCTTCACCAGGTAAATACTACATCATGCACACGATATATGCTCTAAATTTTCTAAAATTTATACACCAAACATTTTGAAAGAATTATTCAAATTTAGGGCATTATTATATTAGTTTTTTAGGTCGACAACACTATCTTAGTCCTTAAGTTGTATAATAGAGAGATGTATAATAGAGAGATTTATATAATGTGACTTTTTCTACACGGTAATTAACTTAAACATCAAACATTTTGAATGAGTAATTAAAATTGATATAAATATTGCACCATGCAAGAATTGGATTAGGAAGACTTTTTCAACACCAAAAGTAATTCTTTTTGTCTTTTAATCACAACTTCAAGAAGGTATTGATAGTCTATTAGGTGTGTGATGGTAAATTGGTTTAGGCACAAATAAGTGATTTTGGTACACTTTGTTAAATGACCAATTCATCCAAAAGTTTAAGCAAGTGATTAAGGGCCAAGATTATGTTTTATGTCTTCTTCATGCTCTGCGCTTAATATTTCACTTTGAAAGGAAGGATGGAAGAGATTCGAACCAGTGATGTTTGTAACACATGGCACTGATACCATGTTAAAGGACCAACTCAATTAAAAACTTAAGTTGATGGTTGAGGCCTAAGAATATATTTTAAACTTTATCACACTTCTATTCCCAATACTTGTACACTTTTTTAATGTGGGACAATACTTTCACTTGCATGTGAGTTTGTTCATAGACTCGCTCAACACCCATAGCAAAATTTTCAATGCTCTTTCACATGTAGGTGTACCAAATTAATTTTTAGTGTGCCAAAATCATTGCCTTGCATGATATGCTCCATTGTACAAGTAAAACAACCAATACCTACCACTATTACCATGTGCTTTAATCTACTTTCCAACTTCATCACTGTCAGGTAATGGAAGCAGTAACACAACATTAATTACCATCCTAATCGTAGTTCCAACGATTGTTTTTATTGCTCTTGCAATTGGATTCATTTTCTTGTGTAGAAGAAGAAAGACAAAGAAAAAGTCTGAAAGCTCAAGTAAGCTGAATAATGTCTTCTGTTTTAATCAATTATTCTTGAATTTGGAAATGATAAAATATTGCTGATTGTATTATATACTAACCCTCGGATTTTCTTAACCTTTGATCTTAATTAGTCGCTTCATATCCTCTTTCTCAAGAAGAAAATGATGAAAGTAGAATTTTAGTGTCTTTGGAATTTGGTCTCGACACCATCAGAGTGGCAACAAACGACTTCTCAGACTCTAATAAACTTGGTCGAGGTGGATTTGGTATCGTTTACAAGGTACTAAATATTAATTAGCTTGTTGGATCTCTATAATCAATTAATGTTAATTACTATATGACTAGTATTTGACTACTTTAATTGTGGAAAGAATAGGTTGGAATGAATTCATTTCTAATGGGATAATAGGTCACTAAGTTTTATGTATATATATGCCTGCTAAAATTAGGGAAAATTTTCAAATGGACAAGAAGTCGCGGTAAAGAGACTCTCAAGGGATTCTGGGCAAGGTGATAGTGAGTTTAAAACAGAAGTTTTGTTAGTGGCCAAGCTTCAACACAGAAATCTTGTTAGGCTTCTCGGTTTCTGCTTAGAAGAAGAAGAAAGAATACTCATTTATGAGTTTGTTCCCAACACTAGCCTCGATCACTTCTTATTTGGTATGGTTTATTTCATTATAAAGCTAGTGTGCACGTAGATGAAAGCAGGGTTTATATACATGATAGTATTAAGCTAGATAATACTACCTCCGTTAACTATTATTTGCAACAAAGGATTATTCCCTTTGTTGCAAATAATAGTTAACGGAGGTAGTATATTATTTATGTACATAAATATGTATATCATGATAAGATTTAACTGTATATTGATATAGTAATGATAATGAATTGAAATACATGCTCGTGTCATGCGCAGATGTAAACAAGAGAGTATATTTAGATGTGGAAAAGCGGTACAAGATTATAACAGGCATAGCTCATGAGGATTCTAGACTACGAATCATCAATCGTGACCTTAAAGCAAGCAACATACTTCTGGATGCTGAGATGAATCCCAAGATTGCCGATTTAGGCATGGCTAGATTGTTTGATGTTGATCAAACCCAAGGGGATACCAATAGGATTGTCGGTACTTAGTAAGTGCATAATACTAATAAACATGAAATTCATATAAATTGCTAGACTTAGGTCACATTCAATTCCCATATCAACTATACAGTAGGTTGTAAATTAAATTAAAGAGGTTTTATGTCATTTGTCGCATTAATTTCACAAAAATCAATCAATCAAACAACCAAAACCTTAATCTCGTAAGTGTTGATTTCAAGTTAGTTTCACAAAACGAAGCTAATTAAATTTTCTTAATTGAACGTATCAAAACCTAATAAACTTATAACTCCTTTATGCAATACAGTGGATATATGGCTCCAGATGTCTACAGTTTCGGCGTACTAGTTTTAGAAATCATTACAGGTCGAAAAAACTCTAGTTTTCATAATGAGGAATACACAGAAGATCTATTAAGCTTTGTAAGTTTTTAAACTTTCTTTAATTTTATCATCTTTTAAGTATACCCTTAAACTTTTTTATGTGTATAATCCTTATAGTTCTTTTCTACGTACATAAATAATGTTATACAGGTATGGAGAAATTGGAGAGAAAATACGGCGACATCTATCATAGATCCAACATTAACAACAACATCAAGAACTGATATGATAAGATGCATACACATTGGCTTGTTATGTGTTCAAGAAAGTGTTGAGGACCGACCAACTATGTCTTCCGTCATGTTGATGCTCAGTAGCCGATCTTTATCTCTTTCAGTTCCTTCTCATCCTCCTTTTGTCACTGTTACTACCTCTGAGTATTCTAAGGAGAGAATTCTAAGGTCTATGTCAGAAAATGAGGACTCGATCACTGGTCTACATCCGCGATAAGATATTAAAGATACATATATAATTCCTCCGTTAACTATTAATTGCAACAAAGAAATATTTTATGTCTCGATAATAAATATAATACGTCTTTGTTGCAATTAATTAATAACTAATGGCTTGGAGTAGATTAATTATATTGTTAGCCCGACTTGCAATTGTTTGATGTATCTCTTGTCGTGAGAGTAATTTTTGGCTCTTAAGAAGTGCACGTGTATATACCCTTGAGGAGCTCATCAGTTTGGTGTTTGTCTAGAATACCTAAAGTATCCTCTTTTTTTATATATATATATATATGTAACCTTAAACAATTTTTTTTTTCCATGTAAAACATCATGAGTTATTATACATGTTTTTGATATTTGAAGCACACATGCATTGACCTGGGAATGTGTAGATATACTATTTCCTCCAAATTTTTTTACTTGATATGTTTCATTTATCACAGTTGTCAATACATAAATATAATCATCAATATTTTTTAATTCCTTATAATATAAGTTATGACGAATAAACATTAAAAAGAATTTATTGAAATACGATTCAATTAAGACCTTAGATGACTATTTTTTTCCTTACATATAAATCATAAAACAAGGTCAAAGGTAGTGTGTGACCAATGCAAAATTCAAACAAAGTCAACTGAAAAAAAAATGGAGAAAATATATTAGAGGTGACAAAAAAAAAAAAAAAAAAAAAAAAAAAAAAAAAAAAAAAGGAGTTCGTTCGGACTATAACATTATATATTCTGCCCAAACTCGCAAAAATATAGCTGGCTTTTTGAGATTATTCGAGCTGGGATCGGGTTTTTAGGCTTGTCCAAACCCACTCTATTTTTGGATTGGGCTAGCAGGTCAGGCCACCGTTGATAACTTCTAAAATATATGTCCATAGGGCAAGTTTAATTTGGCATCCACTAGTTTTTAATATAAGTGAAGTTAAGAGAGAAACCCGGAGAAATTGAAGAAGTCATACTATAAGTGATAATATGACATACTGTGCACCAAAAAATAAAATAAAGTAATAATATGACATATTCAGTGTGTTAGGAAATTCCCAACGACGCGTCATACTAGTGGAGAACAACAGTTGTGAAGAACATTAAAAAGCGTTATCTTGATTCTTGACTAAGGATTTGCATATGACTTTGTATAGCTATTAAAGACATGCAAATGATAAGAAAATCATATATTTTTCAAATTTTCGGTTAATTAATTTAGTACCTCTTCAACTACGTAAGATATTAACTACTCAAATAAACAATACTCCGTAGTCTTTTATTAGTACGTAAGGTTTACTTCCGTCAAAAAGTAAAATAAAATAAAAATAAAAATAAAATATTAGTAAGGTTGACTACAAAACTTACACTATCCAAATTTTTCTTGAACTCACATTAAATTACGGAGTAGTAAATAATGCAATAGATAAAAAAAAAAAAAAAAAAAAAAAAAAAAAAAAATTCATTTACGACATAATTGTGATTTGTGAAGACTTTGTACATAGAAAGGTTTGACCCGTCATGTAACATCAACTAAACATTTAATTATCTTGTTTAGCTACATACTTTAATCGTCTCAACCAAAAAAATCAGTACGAGTACAAAAAAAAATGGCTCAAAAAATAAGTCGTTTCTCGATATTCTTCTCAATCTATATGCTAATTATCATATTGATGATTTCCAAATCAACAAGTGCTCAAAACTACGATTGCGGCTCAAACACTACAATCTTTGCTAACAATATAGCCAATACGCAGCTAATCTCAACACCCTCTTCCGTTATCTCAATTGCTAATATTCCACCGAATTACAACACCCATATTTGCTCTCCTCAAACTTATACCCTACTGCCAAATATTTTAATAAATTCAAGGCAAAATTGGTATAAATCACTTTTATTGACCAACTTTTTGAAAAAAACAACCTTTTATTTATTTTTACTAAACCACCTTTTAAGTAACTAAGTTTTTTATTGCACCGCCACTATTTTAAATTTTGACGAAAAATTTAACTGAGACGTCAATGGGGCCCACGACTTGCGTTTTTTCCTCTTAAATCATTTATTTTTTCCCTCCCAAAAACATTCGACCCTTCCTGTATATAATGCATAACTAAATTGAGTAACGCTCTAAAAAACTAACCTAATTTTGCTGCACAAATTAAATTGTAGTCTTTGTTCATTCTCAAACCCTAAAATGGGGTAATGGAAGTGGATGGTTGAGATGGAAGGGAAGGTTTTGTTGTGGTTGTTGATTTGAAAGTGGATGGTTGAGATGCAATCCGTTAGATTTAAAATAGGGGTGGTGCAATAAAAAATAAAAAAATAAAAAAAAAGTGGTTTTTTCAAAAAAGGTGGTTTATACCAATTTTACCTAAATTTAACTAACTTTTTTAAAATTCCATGAAAGTCAAAACGTTTCATTTATTTAAACATAGAAGAAGTAACAATTACCCTAAAGTAAACAAGACTTTGACCAAGTAAAACCCACTAAATAAATAAATAAGCTAAGTCTGGGCGATGCCTCGAGTTATTGCATTAATTCCATAATTAAAATCTTTATTTACATTTAGTTTTGGTAGACTGACATCTAATGTGGTGATAGTTTAGTGGCAAATACTTAAGTTTTTAAAGTAAAGGTTTTGGGTTCAAACCTTGTACAATTCACATTTTTAAGCACGCTACATGACATGTAGGCTTGCTTAGGAACCGAGGAGGGCACCAAGTGGCATATAAGCTTGTTTAGAAACGTCTTTTAATATATAGTATAGATAAGTGGATAAGGGCCGGGTGAATATTTCCAAGTCTACAGTCTACCTAACCTACAACTTAATTTCAAACTTTCGGTCAATTTTTTTAGTACATCTCCAACTACCAAACATATTAACAATAGTATTTTGTATTAGTAAGGTTGACCTCACTTTTCGTTCCTTACAATGCATGGGTTTGAAAAACACAAAATCAATTACTATAATTGATTAATCAATGCGTCGTAGAAATATGGCTCAAACATTTAGCCAATTATTAGTTATATTCTCATTTAATATCCTAATTATGTTAATGATAATTTCCAAATCAACAAGGGATCCAAAGTATGATTGCCCAAACGATACTATGTTTGCCAACAATAGCCAATTTGCAACCAACCTAAACACCCTCTTCCATTTTCTCTCTTCCAATTCTTCCAACCCCCCGCCGGCTACCACCAAGCGGTAGTTCCTAGCGATGACAATGCTAAGATAAGGCTATTTACGGTCACTTCTTATGTCGTGGAGACCAAAATACTAGCTCGTGCCAAAAATGTGTTAGTGTGTTACTATGTCCATTATGACGGACCTTCCTAACCTATACGATCTTTATCCCTTCTTTGATTTGTCGACACTTCCCACCACCACCATCGCAACATGGGGAAGACTGTAATTTCAATAATTACAAGTAGATTTTATCGTGGTAGTTTTTTTTATCCAAATGTAGTAATGTATAAATAACTAACTGAACCCATAAAGTACGTCCAATTACACCCATAAAAGCACGCCTTTGTGGTTGACAGTCGACACCGTTGTCTAATTGCATCTCTCTTTCGAATTTTGCACTTAAATACTCCGTATCTGACTTTTCCAAGATCCATTTGAGCATGTTGCTCAATTCTAAACACGTTGGTTGACCTATAAAATGTAGAATTTTCTAACTACATGTGTTATAAGCCATACATTTGTCTTGATTTAAATTTTAACTTTTTTAGGTGATTGAAACACAAAGCAAAAGATTTAGAAATGAGAATTTCTAAAGTTGTTCATTACATTCATATTCTTATTCAATTTCATTTTATTTCCATCGTAATAAGCCAGCAAAATTTCACTGCACATTATTGTATAGACACCTATGGTAACTACACAAGTACTAGCATATATGAGGCCAATCTCAACACCTTATTCTCTTCAATATCATCCAACACTCAAATCAACTCCCGCTTCTATAACTTCTCAATCGGCGAGGAACCTGACCAAGTTAATGGGATTGCGCTATGTGGAGGTGATTTAGCGTTCCAAGATTGTTATAAATGTGTCAATGACTCAATTACTATGCTTCCACGGCTCTGCCCAACACAAAAGGAAGCTATCGGGTGGTACGACAATTGTACGCTACGTTATGCAAGTCGGACAATATTAGGAAGCCAAGAAGAACAACCTTCATTAATGTTAATGAGTACAAAAAAGGTGACTAATAACGTTAACCAGTTTAATCAAGTGCTAGGAACATTATTAAGTAGGCTTCGAAATGATGCTTCTAAAGGTGATTCTCAACTTAAGTTTGCAATTGGAAATGATAGTTACGGCAGCTTTGGGAGCATATATGCGTTTGCTCAATGTTCTCCAGATTTGTCGCAACGAGACTGCTTTAATTGTATTGGAGATTATATTCGTGGAATGATACCTAGTGGCTCAACTAATAACACGGGAGCGCAGATTCTTGGACCGAGTTGCAAGTTAAGATACGAGGATTATTTGTTTTACAACGACGTACCTAGTCCATCATCTCCTCCAACAGCAGCGCCTTCTCCTCCAACAACAGTGCATTCTCCTCCATCAGGTAAGGCCAGATCTATATGCACACGATAGGCCACATGTTCAAATTTTTTTCACCAAGCATTTTGATAGTTTTAAAAATCGATGGCATTATTTTACAAGTTACGACACATATATCTCTATTTTATAAGTCAAGAGGATTCATTAAATGAGGCATTCTTCAATTTGGAATAGAGGGAGTATTGGATTGAGTAAACATGTAAAACAACACTTCACCAAAAAAAAAAAATAATAAAACATGTAAAACAACATAATTACAATATTGCTGTAAAATGATACTATTAGGTATAAAAAAATTTAATATAACACATATTGTTGATTGTTAAAGATAAACTAAAGAAAAAAAAAAAGCAAAACTAAAAGTTGAATATATAATTTGCTGCTTAAAATGAAACACGTTCAATCGAATGTACTACCTCCGTTAATTATTATTTACAATAAAGGGGTATATTATTTGTGAAATATAAAATATTCCTTTGTTACAAATAATAGTTAAAAAAGGTAACATTTTATTTTAAGGTAAAATAAAGTATAAAAATTACTATGGACATACTTACCCACTCACGAGTAACTATTATTGTAAAGTAAACAAGATGTTGACTAAATAAAACCCACTAAATAAATAAGTGAATGATACGGGTGAATTTTTCCGAGTCTACGGTACGGTCTACCTAACCCACAACTTAATTTCAAACTTTCGGTTTATTTTTTTTATTACATCCAACTACGTAACAAATTAATAAGTATTTTATTTCAAAAAAAATATTAATAAGTATTTTATTAGTAAGGTGGACCTCACATTCACTCATTTCGTTCCTTTCAACGCGTCGTAACGAATTGCGAATACTTTATCCATAGAAAGGTTTGACCCACTTATTACATCAAGAAAAAAAAATTGAAAACTTTGTTTCATATGTTTAATATAATTCAATCTATGTGATTGATGGTCTCAAATCTGGAAAAAAAAAAATGGCTCAAACATTTAGACAAATATTAGTTTTATGCTCATTCAATATGCTAATTATGTTAATGATGATTTCCAAATCAACAAGCTATCCAAACTATTATTGCCCAAACGATACTATGTTTGCCAACACTAGCCAATTTGCAACCAACCTAAACACCCTCTTCCATTTTCTCTCTTCCAATTCCACCAACAACCCGGCCGGCTACCACCAAGCCGTAGTTCCTAACAACGGCAATGCTAAAGATGAGGCTATTTACGGTCACTTCTTATGTCGTGGAGACCTAAACGCTAGCTCGTGCCAACAATGTGTTACTATGTCCACCATGACGGACCTTCCTAACCTATGTCCTAACCGAAAAATATCCACGCTTTGGTACAGTGAGTGCATGGTTAGGTACTCTAATAGCTCATTTTTTGGTTCAATGGATGATTCAGTCTACCTAGTTTATTATGTGACCGCGAACATTATAGGCAATGAGACCCGGTTCATGGAGCTTAGGAATAACATGATGAATGACAAAATCGCGGTTAATGCTGCACTTGGAGGGTCACAAAAGAAATTTGCCACAGATTATGTCAATATTTCGGCTTTTCAGACCATATATGGGTTGGGGCAGTGCACACCAGACTTGAGCCCTACTGCCTGTAATACGTGCATAACGGATGGTATTGCAAGATTAATGGTGAGTCCAGGTGGTGGAGTAAGGCAACCTAGCTGTCACATCCGATACGATCTTTATCCTTTCTTTGATTTGTCGACATTGCCCTCACCACCATCACAACCACCTTCCCTACCACCAACCCCCGCGACAAATTTTAGCCACCCTAGTGGTAAGTCAATTTTTTCACAAAGTATTTTTTTTATCAATACTCTAATAAGAGTTTCTCAATAATTTAACATTTTTATTTTCACACTTGTTAAATATCAATGCATTATTTCAATCATTAATATACATTTTAATCTTGATGAATAGTTAAGATATATAAAAAGTTGATATCTTATTATTCTTATAGGTATAATTTTAATCTAATAAAATCCCATGAATAATGTTTTATCTCAAATACAAACTTTTTTTAAGACAAGACAAGTATAAACTTTTTTTTTTTTTTAACAAGACAAGGTATGCACATTTTCAATTATTAATTTATTTTCTTTTTAACAATCATTAATATCTTTTATTGTTAATATATAAAATGATAAACACTAAATTTTATATGTGGCTGGGCGGACCGTATAGCCAACCATTATGGGGCTACTTTGTTAGTGTTATAAGGGTTACTCACTCGGTCAGGGTTACCAAGTCAGCCAGAGGTTACTCATTCGTTCAGAGATTACTTTGTTAGGGGTTACTCGTCGGTTAAGGGTTATTTGGCTTGTGTCAACCTGTCACACTAATTACAAAATTATACTCGTACATAGTACAAAAGTCATATTTTTGCAAGTATTACTAACAGAAAAAGTATGCTGATTTCCGACTTGATTTTGTAGGAAACGGGAGCAACACGAGGAAGATTGCCATCCTAGTCACAGTATCAACAACTATACTAATTGCTCTTGCAATTGGATTCTATTTATTGTTTAGAAGACGAAAATCATGGAAAATATTTGGAGGTAATAAGCAAATTATTTTGAACTTCAGAGATTAGGATGTATATCAATCATATTCGTTCTAATCATTTGATGATCGAGCTTTTGTTATTTTACTTTTGATTTTAGCGGCTTCTGCTTTCCATCGTGGACATGACAGTGATGAAAGTACAAGTTTAGTGTCTCTAAAATTTGATTTTCGTACAATAAAATTAGCAACAAACAACTTCTCGGATGATAACAAACTTGGCCGAGGTGGATTTGGTACTGTATATAAGGTACTTCATACATATATTTAGAAACAAATATAATGTACTATTAGTCTATTAGTACAATTAGATCAGACTAATGTTCATGTTATTATTTGAAACCAGGGGAGATTAGCAAATGGACAAGAAGTCGCGGTGAAAAGACTGGCAAAAGATTCAGGACAAGGTTATGATGAGTTTAAGACAGAAGTTTTGTTAGTGGCTAAGCTTCACCACAGAAATCTTGTTAGGCTCCTTGGATTCTGTATCGAACGTAAAGAAAGACTTCTTATCTATGAGTTCCTTCCCAATATGAGCCTTGACCATTTCTTGTTTGGTATGAGTATGACTATAGATTCAGTTTATAGCATCATAGTTTACTTTATCAGACTATATGACATAAATGGATTGAATAACTTACACCCTCTATATTATCGATGTGAACAGATGTAAGAAAGCGATCATATTTGGACTGGAGAAGTCGCTACAATATTATAGCAAACATAGCTCGAGGAATCCTTTACCTTCATGAAGAATTTCAATTACGAATCATCCATCGTGATCTTAAGGCTAGCAACATACTACTTGATGCTGAAATGAACCCTAAAATAGCAGATTTTGGCACGGCAAGGTTACTTGAAGTTGACCAAACTCAAGGAGATACCAACAGAATTGTTGGTACCTAGTAAGTGTAATATTGTTTGTCATCCTCTGTTTTTTTTTTTTTTTTTTTTTTTTTTTTTCTGGTTCTGTTTTCTTTCAGTCCATCTCTGCTTGAATATAAAAAGTACCATCAAATCTCATACTAAATTTTGTTTTTTATTCTTTGCAGTGCATATATGCCACCGGAATATGCACTATATGGATTATTCTCTGTAAAATCCGATGTCTACAGCTTTGGTGTACTCGTGCTCGAAATTATAACTGGTAGAAAGAATCGAGGTTCTCCCAATGAACTATATGCAGAGGACCTAATAAACTTTGTAAGTGTTCAAGTTTTCCTAGGAACTAAAAAGTTGTAGACTACGTTTTCTTAGTGGATAGCTTATTTATTATGGTCCTTAAAACCCAATTGTAATATACATATCGAATACTTAATTAAAGAAGTACTAATTAGTTAGCAATTATAAAGATTAAGTAAAAATTACTTCAGCTTAATGTTATCAAAAATTGACTATAATGTCTGGTAGGTTTGGCGAAATTGGAGAGAAGGTACACCTTTGAAAGTTGTGGATCCAGCATTGTCCTTAAGATCAAAGAGGGATATTATAAGATGCACACACATGGGCTTATTGTGTGTTCAAGAAAAGGCAGAGGACCGACCAACAATGTCCTTTATAGTTTTAATGCTCAGTAGCCATTCGCTTACTCTTCCGGCGCCTTCTTGTCCTGCATTCATCACGTCCGTTGCTAGTAGAGGGGACACTAAGTCACATCGTCATAGCAAGGAGAGAACGATTGCGCGTTCATCAATGAACAAGGATTCGATAACTGACCCTTATCCACGGTAGGAACCTCCAAAGATGAACACAATGATTAATGAGTTGGCCTAGACTAGTATCCCCTAATTGTTTAATGTTTCCAACTCAAAATAGTGTAAAGGCAACGAGTATATATTTTGATATATTGTTTAGGCTAAAGGTTAGGATATGATGAACATGTTCTAGAAATAGCAAATTCTTAATAAGTACTAATTGTAAGGAAAATTCTCCCTTGGAAACTTTATATTTCACTATATAATAGAGGATAATTTACAATATTGTAAGACAGATTATATTATTATATGTACTTCTCAGTTGTAAGATTGTAAGATTATTATTAGTGACAATTTCTCAAAGATGGGATAAAAGGTGGAATCAAGTGTTTTCCAGTTGCAAACTTGTAAGAAACTACACCAGTCTTCTAGGTCATGTTACGCAGAGTTAATAAAAGTGAAACAGAGATAAATATACACAAATGATATGAAGTATAATATGAGAAAATTGAAGAATTAAGAGAAGGAAGGAACATATAATTATAATGGTAAAAGAAGAAACTTGTGGCGCTAATGTGTCAGGTTTTAGAAAATTATGTGTAGATGTGTGTGGATGACTGGAGCATGAAGTGATTATGAAAAAGAGAGAGTTTCAATCAATGCATAACCGAATTTAGTTCATCAGTTAAGCAGAATTAACTACCGCTCCAATACAATTAATCATCCATTGTTAATCCTTTCATCCTGAAACAGAGCCTTACACTAAGGAGATCGATTTAACCATTAACTTCAAGGTCAATGGAAGATCTGCAAGGAACGGATAACAGCTCCAGCTTAAGCGACGGGAGGGTGAAAGACGTGATCTTGTGAGGTATCAAAAGCAGCTTGAGGTGCAAATTGCCAAAAGGGAACACCGGAGTAATTAATCAGGGGCATCAGTTTGCCACCAACTGCTTGACAGGGGATAGCGTATGAAGATGGAACGGAAGTAGGATGGAAATGTAAGCTAGGATGAGAAGCTACAGACTTAATTCTCTGCTCCAGCTTCTCTTTCTCTGACACTAACCTATGCTTTTCACCGCGAAGTGCTTTCTTCTTCACCTGCATTAGTACAAGTGCAGATAGTTTAGACTCCAACATCCTTGATTGTAATGCAATTAAGATATTAACGAATCTAATGATATACTGTATATTTTGGTATTAGAGCTGATTTGTGAGGTTGGCTAGCCTATGGCTTATGTACAATCCTTTTTTTTCTTTCTTACAGATCGAAACCAAATATAAAAGAGACGTAACCTTCAATTCATTGATCTTTTCTTTTAATTCACCATTTTGGCTGGTTAAGTTACTAGTTTCTTCACGTAACAGCTTTACTTGCCGAATAGCATCAGTTAGTATAGCGGCTTTGTCAAACTTGGGTTTTGTTCCAGACTCCAAAATTTCACTTAATTCAAGGAACCTACCAACAAAATAGTAATAAGTACTTTGAGAAAGATTAAGGTATGTTAAAGAAATAAAAAATTAAAAAAAAAATTAAAAAAAAAAAAAAACTGAAATTTTAATACTGTACATGCCTTTCATTTAGATGATCCCTTCGTTGTTTCTCACGACATGCTTTGGAGCTGCTTGATGCAGTAACCGATCCAACACGAACTCTGGAGTTGAAAGGCAAAGAAATATTCAGCAGTTATGAATAATTACAAAGGACGATGATTACAACAATCAAGGTACATATTAACAAAATGATTGGGTACCTTTTCCGGCAACAGACATCAAAACCATACAAACTCTCGATGGAATCTTGAGTAGCCTCACTGGAAGGACGAAAAGAAAGCATACTCAAACATATTGTGATAAGATCAACTAAATAATCCCCAAGATACAATACTTGAATCAGACTTCAAGTGAACTAACTCATTCCCCTAAAGTATTATTGCTTTAACAAAACTAGATTTGATTCAAAGAACAGCTCAATGGTGCAGAAGAACAGAACGACGGGATATTAGAATAATACAAATCTATTGCCTAAAATAAATACATCTCAAGGACCAAACACTTTATACCTACAAAAAGTTCAGCTTGGTAATATCTACTTAACAAAAAATTATTCTGATCCAAACTGACAATTACTCTGTCAGCTGATAAACAAAATTTGAACAGAAATGGTACTAATAAAATGGATAAAGTGAACAAACCTGAGGAAGGTGGAGCTGGGAAAAGAATCGAATCGAGCAATAGGCAAAGGAATGTCAGGCTGCATGGCAGAAGAGTCACAACAAGTGCTTGGTATATCATCAAGAAGACAGCAAACCCAGTTGAGATCAAACTCCTCATCTTCAAGAGACTCCATCCCTTAACCTTACTCTGACTAGGAAACACCAGAATCTCACTACAGATTTCTGGCGTATTATTACAGGAAAAATACTCTGTTTTCTTTTTTAGTACATAATACACAAGTTCTGAGAGCAGATAAAGTCTATAAGAAAAAGAAATGTACAAGACTAGGAAATACATTGATGCATGGAAAATAGAAGTGTTATTTTGTGGGGCAAAATGAAGAAAGGGGAAAGAATAAACTTCTATCAAATCAACAAAAGAATTTTAAAAAAGAGAGGCGTGTGTTACAGACTTTTAGAAGGCAAAAGGCTTATCTACTATGCGGAATCTACAATGCAGTCAGAATGACCAATGTTTGGCATAAACTTGCAGAAATGGCACAAATTCAGCACATTATGTCAACATAACATAGATTCCATATTCCAATTAAGGAAAAGTACACAGAATAACAGAACTATTCTGCTAATGAGCTGTAGTTCAGAAATTATTTGAGTGGTCTGTTACCAGATCATTCAATGATCCCTTAAGCTTCCATTGAATACTTTATGTTGGATGTCACAGTTTGGCAACTGCTAACATCCAATGACATGACTAACAGGAATCTGCAAGGGGCCAGGAAATATACCCAGTCAGCAAAGATGACATCCAACTATCCAAGGCAATCTAATCACCATAACAGACTAATAGGCCTCTGTAAGAAGCCAGGACAAATACACACCACATGCAAATGAATTTTGGAGTCCATGGCATATCTTTGTTTCACATACTATTGTATACATAGGTAAACTGGACAATGTCAAGATAATTGCTAGTAATCAGGAGGATTCAGGACAGAGGATGTACAAAACGAGTAGAGCCCTTAGGCCCCTTTATATCAAAGTAAAAAGGGTGGGGAGATGATTACAAAACATATCATTAAACCCAACTTACCTAGTATATTTAGTGAAAAAATTTGACTTGTTCTATTACATCAGATAAATATCAGTAGTCTACACAAATGATCATGCAGCAACCAGCTACATGAGACAACCAACATAAATGGATCGAGGATACTTCCTTTGCAGTTGAGGCCATTGCACATAAAGTTGATCAGCAATTCTTAGTTTGTAGAGCAGCAAACCACTCAAAGAGAGTCTTTTTACTCTTGCAATACTCTCCACATAGAATATTGATGACCATCTTATCCCTAGTACCTGCAGTAGCAAATAGAATCTATCTGATAAATCTCGAACATATTAGAACAATATGATTATTAGTCCACAATTTTGATACAGTTCCAGTAAAGAGCTCACCTTAAACATAAAGGCAATTGCACATAAAGGTATACAAGTTCCAGGGCCATTACAGAGAATCTAGCAGAAAACATTAAAACAATACATCAATTATAAATAAATAACACAGGTTATAATTGTTAAAAAAAAATTGTGAGGGTAGAATAGATATATACCACTTGAGGTCTGATTTTAATCATCAACCATAGTGCATGAGCAATGGCAATCAGGGTTGTCCCAACAGAAGTTATATATGACTGACCAACTTCTCGACTTCTATATATCTGCATGTACTGTGCTGCATTCATCCCATTCTGCAATGAAATCAGAATCAGGCAAAAGTCTGTAATCTCACTACGCCACATACGTTAAATACAGCAGTTAATAGTCATGTAGACGTGTGATAAATCTTCATGATTTAATAAAGGTATGCGGTCAATTGATAGACCATCTCAAGGTCTCGAAGAGGGCAGCAGGTTAGACCACCAAGTCACTTTTTTTAAACTGGTAGACCACCAAGTCCAAAAGAACAAAATGCTAATTATAAAGCAAGTTATGTACAGCTTATATAAGGAAAATATGGGAAGAGTGATGCCCTTAAGTAAAACTTTCACACGGCAGTGAGCAGTATACAACATAACTTCTACAACCAGATTCAAATCAAACACATTGTTCCCAACAAAGCACATTGAGGCAGAGAGAAACAACCACATGTAAAAGTACACTCCTCACCACAAAATCTACATGTTATCCCCATGAACTCATATAATTTTATAATTCACAAATCATAAACTCAACCAATAATAATGACTTTCCACAAAAAAAAATCACATGAAACCCATGCTATTGGCTACAACATCAGTATATTCATACCTGTCATATCTAACTCAACTGTACATACGGAGTAACCAATATTCACATGTTCATAATCCAACCACTCGGAAACAGAGATCACATCCAAATCAATCATACCTCTGCGTTCACAGTGCAGGAATCACATCCTTATAAGCACACTACTACTACGATAAAAGCTCGCTCGTGAAGTATTTTCCTAACGAGTAATATCATGGCTAACAGTCATACTTAAGGTTTCACATTGCAGCAGCTGTAATTTGATAAACACATTACTAATAAAATAAAAGCTTGCTCATAAAGCACCCTCCAAAGAATAATCTTGTTGGCCAACTCCTAAAAATTTATATGAGCTTATGCATTCACCTTTTTCCTTGGTAGTTATAAGCCTAATGAATTCCTTCCAGTGCTTCAGCAAGAAAGTTATCCAATAAAAACTCTTAGATATTATAAGTACTGAGAAGTTCTATATCTTTCTACATCATTATAACCTTCAAATTTGCTATTGCTCATACACTATCCACCAGTGTGCTTAATAGCAAAGATTGAAAAAGAGGTAACCTGCACAATTCCAGTTCTCACATGGTAATTGTCTATAAGCATCCTTGCATGATCAATTCATGAAAATGAATGTTAATGAGACGTACTCATTCTTGTGAATTTTGTAATCTCTTACCAAAGTCTCAATTTTGCATTCCAACTTTCTCCAATAAACAATGTAAATTACATAACCTCTAGCAAAGATTTGAAACTAACTCTGAATTCAAATCACTAAATAATCACAAAGCCAAATGACCGAAAGGAATAGACCTTAGGAGGTGTTCTGAAAAAGCTTTCAAGAAAAAAGTGAAGGTCTACTACACACATCCAAATTTGGAAAGTTTCACAAAAGGAAAAAATAAAAACACTATTGAGTATATATATATATAAAATAAAAAAACCTACAAGTAGCCATTGACGTGGATGATGATGAGAGAGCCTAGAAAGATAGATAATCACAGGAGATAACTGATTAGGGTTTCAGCTTTCTAGTGCTTAACATTTGCAAAAGGAGAATTTAGCCTAAATCTAGCCCCAAGTCCCTAGCACCACAGAGGCACAGAGAACAGGAAAATACAGAATGCCGAGTTTGCAATTCAGCCATTGAACTTGTTTGCAACGAAAAAGAACTTTTCATAAAACCTATAATATGTTTGGTTAAAACCCCAATTAATGAGTCTATCCTGACAGTCTAATCCCAGTTCTGCGTTAGTACACTAATCTCAGAAGAAGCAAGCAACATGATCCATAACGACATATATGAAACGACCATAAAATGTGGCATTGGACTTATGAGAGTGCTACTTTCAATATCAGGTATACTACAAAATTAAATGTTCATGAGTGGACCTTATGATGGAAAGTATAACACAAAGTAAGCTGCAGAAAACAGGAAACAGTTGCAGCAGAAATGTAATTACCTCATTATCTGAGGAGCTCTCGAATGTTCGAGCTTTTTGCAGGCTCATATTATCAGTAGCAGCAGCTATGTAATATCTCGGCATAAACCTGTCCTTTTGCAACGCCAACAAGAGATTAATCATCTCAGCGGTGTGACCACCTTCAAGCATAACAGCAGACATACATGCATATAATTAGGTAAAGAATATTACAAATCAATCAAAATTAATTCAAACAAAAATTATGCCTGATGCCTTAATTCCAAAGAATAAAAATCCAAATTCAGCCAAATTGATTAGAACCAATTGTATCATCATCAGCTAACCATACAATATGAATCAAAATTTGAAGAAAAATATCAAAAATCCACATTAATTTCAGATATACTACGAAAATTAATTATTTTAAATTAGCAATTCTAACAAATTTAGATCAATAAGCTAACCTGAACCAAGAACAATGAGAGTACTCAGTGGTTTAACAGTAGTAGGTCGTAATGATTTGCCGCATCGATGAAGAACATACATCAATCGAACAAGAATCAATGTTAACACAGTCACTACAATAACTACGATTCCGTTTGATTCCGCCATTGATGTTAACCACTGATTCTCTCTCATCATCGTCAAAATCACCCCACTAAAATCACAAATTGATACGAAATAAACCCTAGAAATCGAAATAAAAATCCAGAATCAATAAAATCGCACCTCAATCACCAAAATTCAGATCAAAATGTGAATTTTTGCACAATTGGCGCATCATTTTCACGTTTTGATTTAGTTTTTCCAGAAATTTGATGTGTTGAAGAAGATACCTTAGATTGAAGGTTGAAGATTGAATTTCCGGTGAATCGCCGCCGGAAGTTACGGCCGCCGTTGTCAGTCGCCAACGGTGAGAAAGAGAGCGGTTGAGTGGGAGAAGATGAGAGAGTGAGTTTTTGGGTACTCCAATGTAATAGCCCATTAATATTAAAGCCCAACAAGCCCACTTCTTTTTCGTTTTTTTTTTTTTTAATGTTGATTGAGTCACAAAAGTTAAACATTGTTAATGACCTTAATGTGATCCATTGTTTAATCTTGTTTTTATGAGTAGATAGATACCCTAAAAATAAATAAATAATGTTGAATCCTTGATATAAAACTATTAATATGATTGTCCATGTTCTAGGATACATGGACACTTCATCCAACTGTTGTGACAGCGTGTCGAACACCGACACTCGTGAGACACACGACAATACGTCTTCGCGTCTCGGACCGTATGTTCAACTTTATTTGAATCAGAAAATTTGTGTAAAGTATGATAAATAAGGTAATTATTAAATAATATGAGAGCCTTCTTATATAGCCCATGTTTAACTTTAATTGTTGAAATTCGTCAACGCTATTAAAAGACCTATTGTTTCATCTTTTAAGTTTAGAAAATACATTTGAGGTGTTTATCTTTCATATTTTAAGGTGTACACTTTTCTAAACCGACATATAAATCATGTTAGATCGAATTTATGTTCATGTTAAAACAAGAAAGAAATTGAGGATTGAAAGGAATCATGAATTTTAAAATGTTGAAGTTATAATCAACTGCTTCAATTATGTCACATTCATGGTGTGCTCATGTGTTGCCATTCTACACATGCACAGGCTAATCCTAGCAAAAACTAGTAAATATTCATGATTCAAAAGAGCTTTGTTGCTGAATGCTGATTATATTGGTTGGACCAACACTTTCTTTTGTTAAAGACTACTTAAGATGGATGTCTTTCCACATCCACAAAATGACTTCCAAGCTCCGACAATGTGCCTCAAAACTTTAGCTTCGTGATGAGCAACCATCTTCAAAACTCTGAATTTTTGGAAACAAACACTTCTCTGTGGTATGCTACTAGTACTAAGCATGCATCTTGCAGTGCAGATATCGAGACTTGAGAGTGAGCAGCATCTCGTACTTTTTGTTGAGTGATTGAAGATTCAAGGATTAGCATGGAGATTGACCTTAAAATTCAAATCTCAGAATAGAACTGCAAGAGGCTAGTTTGATATCAGAACTACTGCAGGGACTGAAGTCATAATGCAGGTTTGCATAAGCCTTTGTACTGCACTCAGTGAGTCAGCTATGATGAAACACTTTGCATCTTGCTGTGCAGATGTTGAGAGTTGAGACTTGAGAGCATCTCATACTCTTTGTTGAGTGATTGAAAATTCGAGGATTAGCATGGAGATTGACCTTAAAAGTCAAATCTTGGAATGGAACTGCAAGAGACTGGTTAAATATCAGAGCTGCTGCTGCTACGGTGACTAAAGTCGTTTGTACTACACACAGTAAGTCAGCGATGAATTGATGCACTTCTGTTCTTATGATACTCTTTACTCTCTAGTGATGAAGCAAAATGTGACAGTGTTATCCTGCCTCAGTGACTGCAGAAGACACTTCCAATCTTCAAGCTAATAGCTTGACAAGCAAATTTTCAATTCAAATATTATGATTCATGCCAAGATATTCAATAATCAAAAACTGAACAGAGAGAAGCGGTCAATTATGTTACAGTAAGAATGTCTAAAGGACTAAAGATGTCATCAGGCATAGCATAAAACACATGAAATAATTTACAATCAACCTTTTATACACATACTTTCATGTATATGTTTTCATTTGACATCGGTACCACACCAGAAACGGAATACATTCATACATCAGAAAGCATTGGCATAAAGCTGTAAATTTCCTATATGCCAGCATACTGCTGTAAGGAAATGAGCAAGGTAGCAGTATGCACAACATGAAACACAAGACTAGGCCATATTAGCACCAGTGGGCTGAGTAAACTTTTCGACCCTTTTCCTTAACTCATCTTTGTTCGCTCCAACCATCTTGTCAACTACGATGCCATCCTTCAGCACAAGAAATGTTGGCATAGCTTTCACTTCCATCATTGAAGCAACTTCCTGTACACCAAAAGCCACAAGTGCAAACACGATAAGTACAGAACTACCAAATGATCAACCAGTATGAAAGACAAAAGGAAGTAATATAGCACATGAAACTTACAAATCATAACATATCAGATACTCCAGACAAGAATTATTCAAAATCTTGACTAATCAACTGAAAAAAGGGCATTTCTTATGTATGGGTGATCCTATAGAAAAGCAAACTTAGTAGTGCTTAACATGACAGAAAATCGGATTTGGAAGCAGTCAGCCAGCCACTTCCATTTCACAACGCAGGATACTACTTTCATTATTGGGAAATTTCACCTTTGCTAACCAGTAACGATCTGGATCGCCTAGTAAATTGTCTCGAACTCTCAACTACAAAATATAAATAAACACAAAGCCGACTGGAATTGTACCAAACTAACTCAATAGGAACTTACTGCATGTAACATCAACTGATTCTTTCATGATAAACTGATAGACAATAGACCTGATTATACACCATTAGACCCAAATCGAACCACATTACTCGTTAGACACAGAACTCTACACAAAAACAAAATATAAGAGTACACTGTAATCGATTGACAGAATCAAAACACAATCCAATAACATATTCATCATATACTACTATGAAGTACAAAATCTGAAGTATAATTTCTTAAGGCCAATTTAACAAAACCAAGCCATTTCAAAGGGGAAGATGCTACCTTGACTTCATCAACATCAACGTTGACAAACATAACATCAGCATATTCTGAGGCCAATTCTTCAAAGAATGGATTCATGACAAATGATGTGACACACCATGTAGCTCCAAAGTGAGCCACAATCTGTAAAATAAATCTGCCATTATAATATGATATAAACAAGTTTCACCAAAATTAACAGCACTACTTGATCAGCCTCATTCGGCCATTGTATCAATTTTTTAAAAAAAGATACTACTACTATTTCATTACCCATCAAAACATTTTCTTCTGATTCTTTCAAAAAAAAAAAAAAAAAAAAAAAAAAAAAAAAAAAAAAAAAAAAAAAAGGCATTTTCTTCTGAACTTCCCAAAACACCCCTCATTCCCCCTCCCCCCTCTCCTGAGAAAGTATGAACTATGTGTCCCTTCCTCCTCCCAACAGCCCCACCAAAACAAATAAATAACAAAAAAAATAAAACCATCAATTTTCACAGATTTTTTTTTTCTTTGCTTTGTGATCAAGAAATTCAATAAATAAAAATAGATAAATAAATTTCCCCCAATATAACCATGCAAAATAAATGACAAACCCCCAAATTAAGTCATGACCCAAAAAGCCATATTGATCAAAAAAATTTGCAAGATTTGATCTTTCAAAATTATTTTTGTAAAAACCCAAAATTTCAACATATATTTCCTCAATAACAGAAACAATTTTCAACATCGATATCGTAATTTGAACAAATAATGTGACAACTAAATTCAGAGGAAGGCGAGTATTAGAAATGAGCTTACAGGGGTACCCTGTTCTTTGGCTTTGTTGACAAGATCCTCCCATTGAGCCTTAGATTCCACAGCTGAAACCTTTGATCTGCTGCTCTCCATCTCCTTCACTTTTGTTAATGTTTTTGAGTTTTGATGAGTTTTTTTTTATATATATATATATATATATATATACAAGTATATAAATCGATTTATAAACAAAATTAGACAACACCCTGAAAATATTCGAATAAGAAGTCCAACAAAGTGGATGTGAACGAACTATATATCTAGATAAGAGACTGGCATGGATCAACTTGAGGTGGACCCACCATTTTAATTTAATTACAAAAAACAAATCAGTATCTTGTTTGATATTCTTTTTAGTTTTGGGGTAAATTAGGCGAATCATATACTGTAAGATAACTAAGATTATTGATAGAGAGATTAGTGATATTGATTTAATTAATATATTCAATTTAATGCAATTATAAAGGATGTTAGTGATTCTTGGGGCCACATTAATACTGTGGCCTTTGACATGTAATTCTAGAAACACCTAAATTACCACCACTTCATTTTTATTTTATTTTTTATTAATTTTTAAAATCATTTTTCTCCCTAACAAAATAAAATAAAAAATAAAAAATAAAAAAAGAATTGTCAAAAAAATCATAATTATTTTGGTTTCAAAGGTTTTCTTTGATTTGATTTGTCTCTAACAAAACTATACTAGCTTAAGAGCATTAATTTATAATTTTTTTTTCATAAAAACAGTTTTTTTTTTTTTGAAGAAATATAAAAATAGTCATTATTCTTTATTCAAATATGTGTAATCAAACTTGGTAAGAAAAAAATAGTGTCATAAATGTATAAGGAGAAAAAAATTTCACAAAATTGACATGTGTCTATAAATGATGTCAACGCAACTTTTTTTAGTAATACTCCGTAGTTAATAAATATGAACTTGTATTGTTCTAAAAGAAATTATTTTGATTTTTTTTCGGATATAAAGTGGCATAATTGAAGTCAAAATCTGTGTGTATTTTCTAGGATTATTTTCATGATTTAAATTTACCTAATTAGGTATCGTTTACTTCACCTTATTTTTGCTGAGCTGAAATGGTTTTTATTGAACTTAATTTATTTTTGCTGAACTTAAATTATATTTACTAAACTAAATTTTATTTTACTGAACTGAAATTATTTTTACTAATTTTCTATTATATTTTCTTTAAGTGAACTAATATTTATTAAACGAAAACTATTTTTACTTAACTGAAACTATTTTTGCTGAACTAAACTTATTTAGAAATTAATTTTATTGAAATGAAATTATTTTTACTGAATGTTATTTTTTTAAGGTGAAGTAAACGAAGCCTTATTATATATGACTACGGTGGTATACAAAAACAGAACATGGTCTTTTATTAAGGTGAAGTAAACAAAGTCTATAATGAAAAATTATGCTCTTTTATCATTCAATATTCAAATGCCTACGGTGGTATACAAAAACAGAACATGGTCTACGTAATTCATGTTTCAAAATTGTGGGTAAACAGTCACGTGTTATTGGAACGACTATAAAATTTTGAGAAACTTTGATAAATAAATACGTTTTTTAGATCGATTTGCTCTACGTGCCTACTAGTTTCCAAGTCTATAGTCATCTTTAAATCACCATTGATAAAATACTTGTGTTATAGTTACATTAAAGCAGTTCAAATCAATTATGTAACAACAACCAATGCATTAGATAGCTTTCATTTTCTTTTTTTTTGGGAAATTTCTTTTTGTAACACCCAACTTCTCATTTAAAAATATTTTAAAAAAAAAAATACTTTATTATCTTAAAAAAAAAAAAAAAAAAAAAAAAAAAAAAAAAAAAAAAAACACCCAGCCAAACCACCCTCTCTCCCTCCACGCCTAGCCTACATTCCACACCAGCGACGAGGCCCGTGCCGGCCAACCCTACCTCAACACCCCAATAGTAGACTTGAAATTCTTTTTTTTTCATTCTTATAAATAGCATTACTTATTACTGTATATGATTTTCAAATTTGATCTTTTTTTTTTATATAAAAAATTTGATCTTTATATTTCAATGCGATTACAAAATAACCCCTCCATTTTTTAAATAGAGTATTACTTCGTATAAGAATACAAGTTAAACCACGTGCAATGCACATATATTGAATAATTGTAATAAAAATACAATTATATAAAAATAATGAATTGATTGGCCAGGTATAAAAATTGCATGAAATATATAAAAACAATAAAAACAAGTGAGAAAATATTTAAATATGTAAGTCATAATGTGCAAGTTAGACACAATCAAGATATCATATAAATTTACAATAAATCTATAGTAATTTGAATAACTCACTTCAATTAAATTTTGACTACACTTTAATATATTCTGAATTTGCACTACTCAAATTATGATTGATTATGTGAAGAAAAGAGATACATGAAAAAGACACTGCAGAAACCCATTCAAATGAGGTATTACAGGCAAGCAGGAAACTTTGCCCTCAGATTCAATATATTACAATACAAATCAGAATAAACCAATTAATGCAACCTATAGCTGCTTATACAAATCCAATGCAGGCCCATCATGTAAATATATGTAATACAGATTACAACTCTAGGAACAAATTTCATACATGTACCATATACCAACAGGAGGTGTGGTTGTGAGATTAGATGTTAAGAAATATAAAGAGAGAGAAGGAATCGAGTCTTCAGCCTATGCTTAAACGAGAATCAGCCGATCTGATAGCTGTCTGACGGCGAGGAACTCCAATCTGACAAGTATTGACTCTGGCTGCAAACCGGAGGGAGCAAAGTGACTCATTCACTGATGATGGTTCGGGAGAAAGATTGACAAACATCAACGTCTTGGAGTCTCCACTAAGGCATGGCTGATAACACAACACAGATATATTAATTTTATCCAGTTTCAAAAAAGCATGTTACTGATGGAAATTGAATTTGCATGAAATTAAGAACTCCATTCCAGAAGCAAATAGAACGTATGCAGATTAAAGACACGAAATATTCATGAGAAATCTGTAATCAGAATTATTTCAGATTACTGTAAAAGCATTTCACAATCAATTTGCAGGTTTTTGCAGTAGAAGTCCCATGATATTAGAAATAACACCAATTAATGTCATATTTATACCTGGAGAAGATATGTAAGCTTTGAGTTCCTAAAAGGGACATGGTTATCCTTCTTGGCCAAAGCAAATATAACATCAGCCAGGCAGGACAAGCTCTTGTTTATGGCCTGATCATAGAAAAGAAGCAGATTCAGTTCAGTGGTCAAGAATAATCAGTTCAGAAACCCAAACAAATTCCTAAGCAGATATGTAGTACCTGAGTCTCTTTCAACTGATCTCCTGTTGAGCCACTTTTAGAGAGCCGCTCACTTCCAGCAAGATCAATAAGATTCAAAACACCATGCTTTTCAGTGGTCTGGAAATAAATCAACCGCTCATGTTAGACAAGTCATACTAGAGCTAGAAGAATATAAAAGTGCTTAATATTGAAGCCTACCGCATTTACTGCAGTAATCCGCAGGGTAAAGACAAAGTGACTTCTTGATGATTGCTCATTCATTTGTGTCTTGCCAACAGACCTGGAAGATAGCACAGAGTGAAGTCAGAAAGCATGAAATGAAAAGGCAGAAAGAAGAATCACATTAAAGATAAACTGGAAAAGAGTGCCAAAGAAATTTCCTAAAATGTGTTTGATGTGAAGATTATAGATCTGTTTTTCTTTATATGCATACCCTCACTGTCAACTTATCTCTAAGCTTCATTATGAAGTCAATATCTTAAATCCTACTAAAAACACTGACCAAGCTCAAAAATCATCACTATACAATTCTACAACCTGTATCTAAGAAAGCTTTAGGGAAATCAGAACCTATTACTAGCCCTCCCACATTTGATTTTCAGTCCAACAACCTTTCGTACACCGTGAAAGTAAAATAATAATAATAATACTTACCGGCATTGACCTGCTTGATGCAGCAGAGAAGCTACCTCTTTTGAGCTGCAGACATCAACAATAGTAAGATCAGAAACATATGTTTCCCCATTTGCGTCATGCTTAATTGCATACTGCTTTCCAGGAACGCCATTTTCAGGACGTGTAGCATCCCAGCTTGTTCGATTAGGAGCCAGGAGATCCCTGATCGTTTCATTGTAAATTTCCAGCACCGATGCCTGATATGAACAGCAAGTTAACAATGACTTCTTCATCACTAAACTTACTACAATTCCATCTCTTAAGAAAAATGTCTATTTGCATGTGTGAACAAGTAAATATCCCAATTCCCAATGCAATATACATAGATTAGTAAATATTCAGCATAACATTAACTGTACTCCTATTAGAAGAATTTTCAGAAGCATAACATTTACCTGCATTTTATACTTCCAGCCCTGAGCAGAGAGCCTTTGGCTAGTCTCAAAAATCTGCTCTAAAGAGCGGGGTATGAGCCCTTTCTGGTCTATGGACTGAGGCCTGCCCATCATGGTATATGTTTTGCCTGATCCCGTTTGACCATAAGCAAATATACAAACCTGCCCATATAAAACACAGAAAAGTTGAAAACACAATGACTGAACGTTCTGCATTTCAATACTACTACCCTACATGGTCTGCACCACAATATACAGGTATCATACTAAGATAGAGAATTCTGAACTTGAGAAACTGCCATGGATCAGAAGGTAAGTCATAAGCTTCACAAACTACCTTTTCATTCTTACACCAGACCCAGAGGGCAAAATTTCTCTTTATCAAGTTCATGTAAAGTGATAAAAATGTCTGCAAATGATTGATCTAAGCCACCTTATAAGAGGCCAAATTTAGTTATAATACAAGTTTCAACAGTTCTCATTTTATTTTAAATATAAAATCCAATTGAAGCAACATTTAACCTTATATCCATCAAGTGCACTCTGCACCAACTCTGATATTTCCGAAAACACATCAGTCTGTGAGGCCTCATGAGTAAAAACTTTGTCAAAAGTGAAAGCATACTTTTGTCCTGAAAAAAAAAGGAGGAAAATGTATCACATTGACCTGGAGATAATGTAACTAGTTCTTACAAATTACAACACATTGACCTGACATAATGTTGTAATCTCTTCATCATTTACAATAACAAAATAGGTAAAATTAGCCATGTGTGGATAATCAAAGCAAAAAAACTCCTAAAACATACCACTTTGTGTCAGGTCAATG